ACTGCAGAAGCCAAGTGTTTTAACTTCTAGTGTCCTTTTTAAAAAAACCAATAATACAACAAAACATGGCCATGGTTTGGTCTAGGAGCCCAGGAGCAATGGTGGAGAGACAGTGTCTGTGGGCCAGTCATTCAGAGAAGGGAGCCCTGTCCTAGCAGGGCAGACTGCCCCTGACAGCAGCAGGCCGATGCAGGTGCTGGGTGAGGCAGCAGGGTGCCTGGCACAGTGTCTACTCTTCCCACCCCCGGGAAAAACAGCTTCACATACACGGGAGCAAACAAGCTGCCCCAGCAAAACTCAGTTCATCCATATGTCTCAAGGGTGGACCGTGTGGGAGCAGAAACCCGGGCAAGCCTCCCGGGCTCGCCGCTTGAACTCACCAGCGGGACTGCGCGTGCTGTGTCCACAGAGCCTTAGCGGCCGCTCCCAATAGCAAACTCATAACCAACCTCGCCTTCTCTCTGCCCGGCACGTGGAAGTCACACTGTTCGGAATAAATCAGATTCCAGAACAAGGGTAAAAGGGGTGGGCAGGGGCCAGGACCCTGGGGCCACGAGGGACACTCGGGGTCTTTGTCCTGCGGGCGCTGGTGACACAGTGGGACGGGCATTTTTTTAATCACTGTGTGGAGAATGAATGGGGAGGGGCCAGAATGACAGCAGCGCTCAGAGCTCAGACGGGAGCAGAGGTGCCCGGGAGCAGCTTCGGAGCTAGAAAGACGGGGACTGACTTGAGAAGCAGGATGTGGGAGGACAGGAGGACTTCGTAGTTAATTACACATGAGGGGGTGACGGGCAAGGGGGAAGGAGAGATTATTATGCAGCCTAACAAGAGGGCAGGTCTCTTGGGTAAATAAAAACCTCTTAAGGTTGAAAAGATGATGGTGAAACTCCACTGCCCGGGGCTCCCGGCTGCATGCGGTGACCGAGAGCACGTCCCAGGCAGTCTCCCCTCTGCGACCAGGCTTCCCAAGGCCCAGTCCGCGGAGGCAAATACCAGGTGTGTTATCTAGCGGTCCTGAGTCTGGGTACACTGTCACATCCTGCTTCACATCTCACCTGGAGTTTCACGTTGTCCTGAGTTCTCTAGGGGTCCTGGTAAACTTGGATGCCTTGTCTCTGGCCCCTGCTCCTGGGGGGTAACCAGCTCAGTCCACCCAGAAGAAGGCATGGGGCACAGCCCCGGGAAACAAGCACGGGAGACCTCCTCTTGCCCCCTCCTAAGAGGTGGTGCCTTCCACCTAAAGATGCACCCAAAGCTACTATTTATCTTGCAGGGGGAATTTTTCGTATCTTAAGCACCAGGAAAAATGGCAAAAACAACAGGGACCAAAGGAGCTGGAAAAGATGAAGACAGTTCCACAGCCTAGGGTCACTTTCAGCCACCCCCAAGTCACTGTGAATTACGGTGCCAGGGGCCCTCGGGGGAAAGGGGGGCCCATGCTGTGAGTCTGTTCTGCTTCTTCAGTCCTCCCTGTGGACACCTGAGTATCTAAGTTGGCTTGAAAAAGCTACTCAAGCCCTGGCGGCTGTGGCTCAGTTGGATGGGCCTCATGCCATGGACCAAGGTAGTGGTTTGATTTCCGGTCAGAGCACAAGCCTGGGTTGTCCGTTCAGTCCCCAGGGGCTGTGCGTATGGCATGTTCAGCGCCTATGAGAAGCAGCCAATGTGTGGTTCTCTCTCACATCAATGTTTCTTTCTCTCTCTTCCTCTCTGCCCCCCTCTCTAAAAATCAGTGAAAGTATGTCCTCGGGTGAGAATTTAAAAAAAAAAAAAAAGCTACTCAAAGGTTACTTTAAAGTTAGTCAAATTTGGAAGCAATTATGGGCAGACAAAATCAAGACAAAATCCAAATTACACTGTTTCCTGATTTGTCTGTCTAGTCCCTTCGGGTTGCCTGACTCACTTCTGAGCGCAATGAATAGCCTCCCTGTTGGTCGCAATCTCTGCTTTATTGAAGGGTGGGGGTACCTTTTATGGAGGAGCACAATGGGTTGTAAAGCAGGGCCAGGAAGTCCAACAGATGCCCGCACCTGCACACTTCCTACCCCGGGGGCCCATCTCAGAACAGCTCAGCAAAAGCCGCTCGCCCAGGCACCATGCCACGGGGCAGTCAGAACCATTCAACGTGCTGCTGACGTCTCCCGCTTCCTAAAAACAGGAGTTACTGCACATGCCAGATAATACAGTGCTGGAGAAAAGTGAAAAGAAAAGCAGGGTGCCCTTTCTCCCTCCCGTTGAGGGGAGAGCAGGGACAGGCCTTCAGGGTGCGAACCTGTGCATTTAACCACACAGGAGAGAGGGACATTAAAAGGCATGTTTTAAACATGGGGACGTCGCACTCCTTTTTGGTGGGCCCAGCCAGCCAGATGGGAAAGGAAATTCGGCTGCTGTGGTCTAGAAGGCAAGGCAAGGCCAGGATACAGCCTGCTGACAGCCATGTGTGTGCATGTGTGTGAGTGTGTGTGCACACGTGTTTTCCTGCTATGATTTGTGGCAAGACTTAAAAGTAAAACTTAGCAATCAAGCAAGAGTTCAACTGTCAGGGCAACAGCACACTTCACATTTTGCACACTTACTGGATTTGCTTACGAAACAGCCACCCTGTCCAGAAAAAATGTGCTGGGTGGTTGGTCTCCGCTGGTTTAAGTTAATGATTTTCAATCCACTGCCCTAGCTGAGAGCCCTACACACACCGTGAAGAAATACTAGCATATTTGCTACTCATTTCCACTCCCAACTCTAACCTTATAAAATGCTCATGAAGCAGAATGAAGGCACCTCGATGCTCTCATCTTGCTGCCTAAACACAAAACCGAAATGAACTCTGGGTTTAGAAACGAATGAACTGGAGGCAAGAAATGGTGTTGTGTTAAATAAAGCGTTTTTAAGGAGACGCAAACTCCAGCAGCCTTGGAATGGGGATCCCTGTGTTTCCCCTCTCTCTCCACAAATCCCAAAGACAGGGGTGGCTGATTAGTGGTCACGGGGGAGCCTGGAGACAAACGCTCCGTGAAGGGTTTACAATCAAGGCAGAGCTACTGCTGGCAGAGACCACACATCACCCAACCTTCCAAATACTTGTATCGACCCACTTCACATATAATTACGTACCTTTGGAACGGCCACCAACTACAAAGAAAGATATTCAAACCCATCTCACTGCCATCGTTGTTATTTTATTATTAAGCCAAGGGACAGAATCACTTAACCCAATAGGTGATCCCTAATCACACCTGCCTCCGTCCTGGCCCCAGAGTAACAACTCATTAGGTTGGTACCAAGTGTGTGTGGCACCATCATAGTGGGGCAAAGAGCAATCGCCCTGAGACGTTACACACTGAGACTCAACAAAAATGTGTAAAAGCCCACCGATGCCCTGATGAGGGGGATGGGGGGGTAGGGGAGGTGAAGCAGCTGCGGGCCTCAGAAAAAGGGCCCAGGAGCGGGGACAGCTGGGCTGCTGGGCTGGCAGGACACCTCCCTCCAGAGGGGAAGTGACAAGGACATTCGATCCTGATGACTCCCCTAAGCTCAGAGCTCTCTGTGGGACAACCTGGCTCCACGAAAAAGTGCCCCGTGGAGTGTGAGCACCAGGAGGCAGCCAGGCCAGGCCTGCCCCGAGACACAGCCTGCATTTAACACACGCAGCTCCCTCTGAGTTCTCCCGAAAACCTCCGTACTCAGGGGACTCCCGGATGCATGGTCCCACTTTCAGTACCCCCAAACCCAGGGGGACGGGGAACGAGGTGGCTGACGATTATAGTGGCTGTGCCCTTCCATCTGTACCCAACTAAGAAGCAGAAAGGAAGGAGCCCAGGCGGGAGGCTTGGTCTTGTACCCCCTCTGATCTCTCTGGTTCTTACCAGCATCACACTGCTTACAACACGGAGCAAAGTTTCACGGACCAAAAGGTACCTGTGGGCAGAGCCCCACTACTGGATTCTGGGGCTGGAGCTGAGCTTCTGCCATGGCCAGAGCCCCCACCCACCACTCACAGCAGCATCTCAGCAGGACTTTATTCAGATATAAATCACACTCTCACCCTCCTGCCTAAACACTTCTAAACGGTGTTTACATTGTGTTTGCATGTCAAACTTTTGTGCACTTCATTGTTATACTTGAATTAAAAGAATTTTTTTGAAACACACCCTCCAGCGTGTTGGAAATAAACCCCAACCTCCTTCCCATGGCCTGCAAAGGGCCCCCCACACCTGCCCTGCCTCCCTCTCCGAGGGACCCCCAGGTTGCTCACTATTCTGCGTCACACCGGCCTTCCCCGGCCCCCCATGGCGCCCCACACTGCCCCTCCTCCCCCACCGGCTGCAGGGGAAGCACCACTCCTTGGAGAAGAAGCCCCCCGGTCTACACCCAGCCCCTGGTGCTCGCTCGTCCATTCTTCCCCTTTGCAGCCTCAGTTATCTGTGGCTTTGTTTACTGTCTCCCTCTGTGAAACTAGGAACCGGGCTGCCCTGCTCCCCAACCTCCTTCCTGCTCATAGTACCGAGTCTGGCATATCGAAGGTGCTCAAAGCTCCTTGTGGAACCCAAGTGTGCCCTTTGGCAACACATCTCTGTGCCTCAGTTTCTGCATCTGTAAGAGGAGCGCCACCACTGTGGCAGACCTGCCATGCGCAGGTGCTGAGGGGAGGACAGTTGGCCTTCCCCCAAGTTAAATAAATAACTGTCCATGTGAGCAATTATTGAAAGATTAAGAGCTGCTAATCATTAGCCACTGGGGAAATAAAACCATTTCATCTCCTTGGACTCTCCTGTGAAGTCACCCGCACCCTATTTTCTTGAGGCTGAGCGATGGGAGTCCCTTTATCTGCTCCTCAAAGACCTTTATTTTTCAGCCCTGAAGTCAGGGGGCAGGAACTTGCATTTTCAGACAGTTCCAAGACCCCCTCCCACTGTGTTGTTTCAGATCATGTTTTACAAATTTTAGACCCCAGAGGGCTGCTCATGTGTGTAAAAGGTGAGATGTCAAAAACGGTTTACCTATGATGTTCACCGTACTATCCACTTCATGTTTTATAGCTGAAGTCAGGACCGCGAACTCGGGAGAAAGATCACTTACTCCATTACTAAGCCCCAAAGATGACTCAACTGGTTCTTGCTAGGAAGAAGAAAAGAAAAGAGAATTGAGAACACTTCCTGTTCCCCCCTTTTCTCAGCTTAAGCTCGCCCCTCTGTCTGCTTTCTTTCCTGCTGGGCCGTCCCCCTGTCCCCAGTCGGCCTGGAGCTAAGAAGCACGTAGGTCCTGCGCAGGCTCCTCCTCGGAGGAAGGGCCCCGCGCACCCACCCGCCTTTCTGACACGCTTCACCTGCGACAACGCTCCACGTTACACGGGGCTGCGTGATGTCTATGTCCATGGAAAGTACCATGTGCCTAGATCCCAGGTCCTCCTGCCCTGAGGGAGGCGTGCGTAGAGGGAGGGGTCACGTCATCTCTTTTACAGCTATTTCTAGGGAAAAGCTCCCTCCACTACTGCGGAAAATGCCTGGGCCACTGGCCCGAGCGCAGGCACCCGGAGGACACTGTGGGTGAATTCTTCCCAGATATTTGCCCTGGACTCTGGCCACGGAGCACCCTGCTCGGAGGATGGGGGGCTGGTAACACGGGCCCAGTCCAGCAACCCCACACCCACAGCTTCATGGAAACGCTGTTTAAGTGCCTGAGTGTCCCGTGCAGCCTGAGAGGCTACATGTCCATGCGGGTGAGGCAACGCGGCCTTTCTCCTTTTCCTCGGGACAGCCCCAGGCCCCTTCCTTCATGGGCATCACAACTCCCAGCCTCTGAGAGTGCCACCCACCCTGGAGAGCCCGTCCGAGCGACATAGGGACTATCAGCATGGCGATGAGAGAGCATCTCCTCAGAGTGAGACGCACTGGCATCTGTGAGAGCAACTGAGCCAGACAAAAAAGCAACTCAGGACAACACCTTCAGGAAACCAAAACAGAGAGGAGAGAGGAGGGGAACGAACACAGGATGGGAGCAAATCAGGTGAGGTCAGTATGGCTGTGCTTTGGGAAGTCCAGAGTGCTGTCATCTCTATCGCATGTGGGCCATTTCTATCCATTTATTTCTGAGCTACTTGGAATTAATGATGACCCCCCCCAACACATACACACACACACACACAGTGACTCAGGGAAGATACATAGGCAAGGGGGGGGAAATGGCCTCTTTCGTGATCCCACCTGGCAAACTCCTCCCACAATAAGTATAACTTCGAAGACATCACTTCACTATACAGTTCAGTTCTAAAAAAATAAAATAAAAATCATGTAGTGCATGGTTGACCAGATGTACCAAAGGAGGGGGCCATAAGGAAGGGCCCAGGACAGCCCCACTGGGCAGAACTATCACCCCTCTCCTCCCTCATGCATCTTCCCCTCTTTCACAAGTTCCAAACAAGAAGTCTGTCCTTCCTGGGAAACCTCACTTGCCAATGACTAGCATCACCATCTTTTCTCTTGATTTATGGCCAAGCTTCTGGACAAGCACCTGCCTTCCCCAGACTTGCCTCCGGCCTGTTAGAGCCTGGGTCTCCCACCACTCCAACTGGGGAATGAGCTTCTGGCTCCCTGGGGCTGGGGTGCCGGGAAAGACAGGCCTGGCTCTGCAGCCACACGGGCCTGGGGTCCAGGCCCAGCCCCTCCACCTCTCACCAGTCGCAGGACTTTATTGAAAGTCTTTAAGCCTCTCTCAGGGCATGGTGGACGGCTGTAAGCTCAGGACAACAGGACCCACGTCATGAAGAAGAGGTGATGGCTATGTGAGAGGAATGTGCACCTGGCACTTGTTTTAAAAAAATGCTCGCTCGTATCTCCAGTCGCCAGTACAACTCTGCTCACCCCAACCCAATGACCTTCTTTCCTCAAGTCCCTCTCCCTCAACACCACACTCTGACCCCCTACAGGAGGCCTGCATGTCATCTCTGGACGAGATGACACCTGACGCTGGTGTAATTCACCTTTCTGATGGCACCTTCCTTCTCGCTGTTCCTCAGTGGCCCCTCTGCATGTCCCCTCCCCAGTCACTTCCATTTCCTCAGTTCTCTCAAAGGCAACTACAGAGCACCTGAAGGAGTGATGGAGAGAACGGCTCACAGCCACATGTTTCTTTTGTTGTCTTAAGCTATTTTTTACTCATTCAACTTCTAGATTTCTCATAAAAGTAACGGGGCAGTCAGACGTGCACATATTTAACAACCTAAATTATTCCGATTTCTCAACTGAAGACCTCTCAGTGTTTCACATGATCTACAGTTTAATTAGAGACAAGTGACATTTCATCACTTTACACTTGAGAAAACTATGACTCGGAGACTAAATTAATTTTCCGAGATCCTGTGGAGACACAGGAACTGGACTTGGTCCCTGATCATGCGACATGGTCCCAGTCCAGGAGCTTCCCACCTTAATCAACACTGCGTCCCGCACTGATTCCAACGGAGACTGAGACGGAACCGCGTTCGGCCTCACTCGCTCGCCCACCCCGCCTGGTACCCTGCTCCACTCCTGATGGGGCAGGAGAGTCTGCCAGGGGAGACCGAGTCCCACTACTCTGAGCATTTTTACTCCTCCCACCCCCGCTTCAAAAACAGCCTGTCCCTGTCAAAGTCTTCGGTGCTACCATCTCATTGGCACAGTCGCTCTGGACGGACAAAGTGGTTGTCACTTCGAACTCCACACGTCCAACGTTAAACTCACCCTTCTCCATAAAACACACGCCATTCCCAACGATCCCCTCTGTGAGGGCTGAAGACCCGGGGCCTCCCCTGGGACCCACTCCTGGCTTCACCCTCTGTCTTGTCTTCCCTTCTCCAGAGAAATGCCTCCTCCTCTCGGGCCCAGCTGCCACCCAGCTTCACCTAAACTTCCCACGGCAGTCTCTCCTCCCCCCATTCCCTCCTATCGCCATGGGAAACACCTCCCTTCAATACCAATTCCATCATGCTCCACCCCTCCCCAGGGGCTCAGCTCTGCCCTATTTCACGAAGTCATCCACAGAGGTTATTTGGCCACCCAGTTTTCAAACTGTGCTCTGAGCAGTGCCCCCATCTGATTAAGGTTTAAAAACTGAGACCCCTTGTGACCACCAATGAAGGGATCACTCTAGTATCAGCCCTGACAGGTGATCATCTGGCCTGTCTCGGGACAGTGACAGGGAGCATACTGTTTTTTAATCCAGCTCAAGTCACTGTTAGAGACAGCAGCTTGATTAGAAAGTTCTGCTAAACCATGGCCTGCTTTCTGAACTTCTACCCAGAGGTCTGCATTCAGAACTAACACAGACCAGGCCTCCTCCTCACCCGGTGACGTCAGAGGTCCTCCTAGATGCTATTGTCCACCCCAACACCAATTCTTTGATCCAAAAGCACTTTATAGTTTCAAAGCACAAATCTTTCATCTGCGAATGATCCTTTGAGGCAGGAAGCCTTCATTTCTGATCCTGCCCACCTACCTGTCTTCGCTTCCCACTGCTCCCTCACACAAACTCCTGCTCTAATTACACCAGTTTCCTGGCTCATCCACTGGAGACCAAACAGCAGCTCTAACCTCCAGGCCCTCGTGTATGATGCTCCTGGGTGATGAAGAATGGCCTGTGTTTTAATTCCATCCATCCCCCCAGGGCCTGGCTCAGATCCCAGAGCCTCGAACAGTGCGGAGGCCCAGAGTGCGGTGAGAGACCACAGGTTCTGGGGCTGGACTAACATGGACTGAAACTCCAGCTCCATGGAGCAGTGCAACCTCAGGATAATTACTCAACCTCTCTGAGCCTCCATTTCCTTGTGTGTGAAGGGGAGATAACCTGCCCATCACAGGGGCACTAAATGAGATGATCGAAGCCTAGCTCTTGGTAGGGGCCCCAAAACGTCTGCTACCACGCCTCTGTTTTACTCACTTCTGTCTTTATTGATCTTGACCCTGTGACATTTCAGAAACATATATGTGCACTGATAACGTACAATCTAGTATTACTGATTATTGTGTTCCTTATTTTCACTTCCTTAAGTAGCCAGTTACCTCCTGCAGGTGGATCTTAGTTCAGGAGAGAAGGGCTCACTGAGCAACAGGGTATACTAAGAGAACAGCAAGGCATAAGGAGGCCGCACGCCTGCACCTACTCACGGCCAAGGGACCCTGGGGCTGCCAGTCTCGGGGGGCTGTTTGCTGAGAGAACAGGTGGCATGGAGATAAACCGCCTGAGTGACCCAGGAAAAGTTCTCACAGTCAGCCCGCATGTTCCGAACATCCTCAGCTAGTTAAAACCTCAATCCAACCTGAACTGAACGAAGACTGTGAAGAGCTTGCTTCGACTGCAAATGTTCATTCCTAGTTAGGACACACAAGCCGAGTTTTCTCAGTGGAAGAAACCTATCCAGTCTGTCCAGGGGCATGTTTGCATGGGACACACGAACTCTGAGCTTAGGTGTTTCACATACAACAGGAAGTAATGTATTACTAGCTCCCTGAGGATAAGGTCCTTTAATGATACAACTCCAGAGAAGCTGGAGAGTGGACTTTGGAAATATTGTACAGAAACAGCAAGCGAACGCTATGGCCTTCGTAGTCATGGGCCACGAACTTGGGTGGTCTTATCCACGGCTACACTGCAGGGCAGATGCAAGAAGATCTAAATTCAAAGGTGGGTCACCTGCCTTCTGCTGAAGCAACAATGTCCCTTTGAGGGGCGAGTTTCCAGTATTAACCATATCTTCAGCCCAGGGAGATTTCATTTCACAACGTGCAACTGGCTGGGTTGGAACTTGGCCCGCACGGCTGTGCCTGAGAGGAGGCCTCTCACTTGCTTTCCTGGGCAGATAGGGCCAAGCCCCACCCAGGGCTGTGCCTTCCACAGCTCCCTCCTCTGAGTGGCCCTGTGGAAGACACTGCCACTGCTGATGTGACTGCAGGTGTCCTTTTCTTATGAGAACACCACGTGTCCTCAACTCTGAGAGACACACTTCCACATCCCTAATCACGTGTCATGGTTTCATCGCAAGCTGTTTTTCTTGCTTAGAGATACATAAATAATGATGCATCTTATAATCATTGGCATCGGGTAGTCGATGGAGTATGCGGACAAGTTTCAGCAGTTTGTTGAAAAGTGAGCATCTGTTATTCCATGATTATTTCTCCATTCACTGAGAATATGAAATGAAATCTGCATTCTAATGTAAAACCCCCATTCCTAACCCACATGTTAAGTTTATTTATGCATCCACTTGGTCAGCGAACACTCATGCATGCACGCAGTGATCAAGTGTGCACTGATTACCTGTCCTGCTAGATGCTGTGAAGGTTAGAGCAAATTCTTCAAACTCACGTATTTGTGGGGAAGCTATACTTTTCTGACTAAACAACAGTAATCATCAAAATATAGGCCCCAAAAATCTCCAAACTATGGGACACTTGATACAACTACTAACTAGGTTTTTTTCAATTGCAAGGAAAAATTAAGTTGTTTTAAAAGACGATGTAGGGGTAACCTGTAAATTTAAAAACACTTAAGAGACACATCCCAAAATCACAATGTGTGGACCCTATGTGAATCTTGATTCATGTAAACAGACTGTACAAAAATTATAACATGTATGCCCTGGCCAGTTGAGCAGTCACCCCGTGCACCCAAAGGTTGCCAGTTCAATTCCTGGTCAGGGCACATGCCCAGGGTTGCGGGCTCATCCCCGGTGGGGGGGGGCGCTTTCGGGAGGCGGCCGATCGTTGTTTCTCATGTTTCTCTCTCACATCAATGTTTCTCTCTCCTCTCTCTCTAAAAATCAATTTAAAAATCTTTTTAAAAAATGATAACATTCAGGGGACAACTGGGAATCTGAACACTGGCTGGATATTGATGATTCTGGGGAACTGCTGTTATTTTTCAGATGTAGTCATGACACTGAGCCATCTTTAAAGACTGCCTGTCTTTTAAAGATATATACTTAAGTATTCATGGAAAAAATGACATATCTGGAATTTGTTTCAAAATATTGAGCTAAACCACATGAAATTGTTTTTGTAGGCCAAAAATAATTGAGTATCTGCAATTTTATATCAGGCATAGGAAAGTGGGTGGAGGAACCAATGAAATCAAATGGCCACGAGCTGATTAATGTTGAAATTGCGGGGATGGTGTACAGAGTAAATTTTACTCATTTGTTTCCTTCCTGTGTGTATAAAATTTTTCCATAATAAAAAGTTAAAACAAAATTGGTCCTTAATACTGTGCTATATTTAAATAAGTCAAAAGCTAAAAATACTGAAAATGAAACTGGAAGTATGGCTATTAAAATACTCTGCCTAAAATACTTCTTTTCAGTTGTAGAGGTAAATTAGGTCTGAAATGCTAACTCTTGATCTCAGTTTTCCCTCCAACTCTACCTACCTTCACAAGTCTAACTTTATATCTGGCGTAGATTTTTAAATAATTTTTCTTCCTAGTTTGACTAACTGGCTTATTTTTAAACATTGCACTGTCTGGACAGTTTGGTGTTTTCTTTCAATAGTTATTCTAGAGTAGAAATCAGGATACTTGGCATCTCCTCTTTAAGTTTAGTTCTAAATAGCGGTGTGACCTTGGCCACACGTCCCAGCCTCTGGGTCCATGTCACTCAGCTCTCTGGAGCCTCAGCTTCCTCGTTTGCAAACAGAGCACAGTGCACCAGACAGTCTTCCCTCTGCCGGTCTAGGGGTCAGGCACTGCAGTGTCTGCTCTCTGCCCAGCGACTGAAGCTGGTCCTCAGCTCCGCATGGGACACCTCACTACCCTCTGGCTAGCTAACAAGGATCTACACACAATCTACACACAAAGGTCCTCCCGAAGGGATTTCAGGCTGCACAGCCCACTGAAAAGCCCACACACAAACACATCCCCGTGGAAAGCCTTTGGGGATTATGACAGCTGGCTTCACAGTGGAGCAGAAAAGGTCTATTGAGATCCACACTAACACGGCATTTGATCTCATCCCTGAGTCCCTGACTTAATGGCCTGCCGTGGGATACACCTATAAAAATATAGGTAGCACATCTTAATACAAGCATATAATATTTAACATACTTTAAAATATATTTAGTAGCCTGAAAATGTCCTTAATATGATTAGATAGTAGCTGGTTGCTGGGGCTTAGCTGGTACTAAGTGACCAGCTGGCGACAGCATGGGGACCAGGGGGAGGCTGCAGACTGTCCAGCTCCGTGAGAATCTGTGACTCCATTCATAAATTTCTCCGTGAAACCGGATGAAGCGGGGGGGAGATGTGCACCTGAGCCTGCGAGCGGGCACATGCCAAGGAGGAGACGTGGAAAGCACATAAAACACACGAGCCAAAGAACGAAGATCGACCACTTCCCCGAGGCCCCATTACTTGTTTTCATAAGACACAATCATGAACATGGTCACAACTCTGGCTTCCTCCCTGAACAACCAAAGATTACCTTGATGTGCTTAACTCTGTCTTCTTTCTCTGTCTTTGGTTTCTTTCCTGTGGGCAACAGAAGACAGTCCGGGATTAATGCATGAAGAACAGAGAAACATCTCCCCTAAGTGTAGTGCTTTCTAAACTCTCCACCGACCCGTGCAAGCGTTACTCTGTACACGGCCGCAAGTCCCAATGTCTTACTGTCTTTGGGGACCTGAGACTCATTCCCCCAGCCAGGTAAGGCCAGAATGAGCTTCCACGGTGCAAACCCCAGGCGTGGAAATAAGGAAATCATAAAGGCGCTACAATGTGTGCCAAGGGCACTGCATCGTGGACCTTTATCTACCTTTTTTAGAAGGCCGCTCCGATAAGGGCAACATCCGGTACACCCTGAAGGCGTTGTTTCCTTTCTTTATACTCCTGTCCTTTACTTCCTCGATGTCGGGCAGGGAGTTCATGGCACATCGAAAATTCGCCTTCCATGTTTTCGGATCAGGTTTATCTACGCCTGGTTGATGCTTTCCTAACAAAACAGCAGGAAGAATTAAGGTTAAGGGAAAAAGGGAGGTAGACACAGAGTAAAGATTTCTGGAAACACGGGATTGCTTGCAAGTAGTACAGAGAAGCAACCCTGTGCACCCCAGGCTACGCCTACAGCGACCACCATCCTGGCTTGCCTGGGACTGAGAATGTTCTTGGGATGCGGGATTTTTGGTTTTAAAATCTGGACAGTCCTGGGAAAGCTGGTACAAGCTGGGCACCCTGACTTTACCAAACAGCTTGAGAAAAAATTAATAATGGTAGAAAAATAGGAATTGATGTCAGCAATACAGAAGGCCGGCAGGCTGGCAGGCCCATAAGCACAGGTAACTGGAGTGTCTCTTTTTTCACCTGACTCTCAAATATTAAGTTAAAAGACCATTCCTCTCAGTAGCTCCTTACTTAAATTTTGTTGTAAGTAAATATATTCTTGACTACCTTTTGACCCAAGTTTATAGCCGCAGAACAAACAAGTTCTTTATGGCCCTGGTACACACCTGGGGAACGCAAGGAGAACTTTACAGGAAATTTAAGGACTGAGTTTCTGTGGAATGATGGGTGGAGCATCACCTCTGAATGATGAAGTTTGTGCCCATGTGTCCTGGATATGCCTGAGGACAAGTCACAGGTTTTTCAGAGCTGTCTTTATGAGACTGTAATGCAGGAGATTTTATATGTGCAGTAAAAACAAAAATAAACACTGCAGTATATAACTGAAATTTGCTAAGAGAGTGGAACTTAAATGTTCCCAGTGAAAAACCAAATAATTAAAAAGTAAATACGGGCAGCAATAAATGCGTTCGTAAACTCAATGGGGGCACCCTTTCCCAAGGATTACAGAAATCATAACTTTAAATATCTTACAATTTTGTTTGTCAATTACACCACCATTAAAAGAAAAAAGAAGGCATGAAAACAACGCAATAGTGCCCGCCGCCGTCAGCGATGCCTGGGCATGAATACCTGTGTGGATTGCCCAGTTCCTAAAGAGTGGGGCATCTTTCTCCACATCCCACCCGTGTCTAGCTGCATGCATCCAGGGGATCTGGAAGATCTTCTTCTCCTGGGGAAAAAAAAAATGTAAATAAGAGCTGCACCCATGGGGTTCTGGGCACCCCTGCGGAGGGTTCTTAAGTTCTAGCTGGTCAAGTTCCCCTTGAGGTGTCACTGGGCTCGTTGAGTTTCCACAGTAAAATCTACTGCAAAGCAAACCCCCTTCCCCACGGGGCCCCACACCTTAACAGTGTGCCCGGGTGAGATTCAGAGCCATGCAGTATCTGGCAGAACAGGAATGAGTCCCAAGGTCACGGGTGACAATCTAAGAGATACCAATGCGCTCCGTCATCCTGTGTTTTTCTTTAAAGACCCTCAGACAACGGACCTCTGACAAACATCTCATTTATAAGACAAACTCATTTATTAATAAGACAAACGTCTTATTATCATTTATTTCCATCATTTGGTAAAGAACTCCAGCTGCCCCAGTAAATTAAAATTAGGCATCTCTCCAGAGTAATATCCACTGGTGCCGTGAAAGGGAGTCAGGCGTACGAAGCCACTGTCACGGAGCCCGAGCATCGCGATGGCCTGGGGCAGCAGCGGGAACAGAGGCTCGGCCTACTGTCCAGCCTCGTGTGTCCACCGCCCTGTGTGAACCGTCTGAGTCAGAGCTACAGAGATGCATCGGGAACAAGGAGACGACGCTCATTGTTGGAGCAAAGTCCCTCCCTAAGATTCTTCTCATATCAGACCTTTCCATCTCTCTTCCAGCCCAAGACACAATTCAAAGTTTCTAGAAAATAGTGCCTTGGAAACAAAATTACACTCATGGGAAAAACTACCCATGGGAAACCTGGTTCAACCAGCAGCACCGGCAGTCACAAGGCACCTTACACATGACGACACGTGCTCACGTGGTCTCAGTTTTGCTTTCTGCAACAACCTAATGAGCTACATACATGTTGTAATTTCCGCTTTGCAACCGAAGGAGCTGAGGGACATAATTAAATTATTTAGCCAAGGTACTTATGAGAGTAAGTGTCTAGATTCCAGACCGAGGCCAGGCGACCCATCTACAACGGTTCATCTCAGCCCAGCTTGTCTCCCCGTGCTCAAATTTACAAGATGTTCAGTTTTACAACAGATCTGACTTGGATTCTGTGGAGATTAAAGCCCACGGAAATGTATTTTTTAAGCTCTCAAGCCAGTTCTGATCATTCCCAGGTCTGGATCCCAGCAGATGCACAGGGAAGGAGAGAAAATGTCAGGAGGGATCTTCCACCACTCTGGTCTGAGTGAGAGTAGGAAGGGTCCCCGCCGACCTAAGGGGCTTGGTGCCTCTGCACAGAACCAATTACAGAGCCTGAACTCAGAGTGTTTCAGGACATCTGAGAGTTCCCCAAAATCTGGTAAAAGGGGAAATTCTGCTGTGTTTACAACTCAGTACATAAAGAAGAACCGAAAGTGAGAGACTTTTCATAGTTCGTTTCGTGTCATCCACTGAGACAGCAGTGTTTCTGGTTGGCCGTTTCCAAAAGGGCAGGTGTCAGAAAAGGGCCGAGGGAAACTGTATTGTTTAATATAGAGGAAAATCAGAAAGGAGATCACTTAGTGCACTTTTTGATGTTCGTTTGAAAATGAACGTATTTCAGTGAAAGAATGTTTTTGAAGCAGAACCTAAAGGCTTATAGCTCAAGATAGAAACCCTTAAAGAATTTGCTGTTGTGCTTTTTTTCTAGGTCAGAGGAGCTCTGGGGTGACACAATCACAAACTGATCTCATAAGACCAAGTTGGTTCTGATAAGCAGATCTTCTCAAGCACCTGCGTGCAGCCAGGCGGACGCGGCGCACACGCACAGCCTAACCCAGACTCGCAGACACTGTGCCCAAATCACGAAGCTAAAAAGTAATGACTAAACTTAGTAATTATCCACCACGGATCCCCTTGAAATGGGCAAAGGACCCAAGGGAGCCGAATAAATGGCCAATAAGCCCGGAAAGAGCCACTCAGCAAGACCAATCATCAGGGAAAAGCCAATGAAAACCATAATGAGATAGGATTTCACACCCACGAGGGTGGCTAGAATCACAGAAACAAAACCCTAAGTGTTGGTGACAATGTGGACAATCTGGCACTGCCATGCACCGCCGGTGGGATATAAAATGGGGCAGCTGCTGTGGAACACAATTTGGCTGATCCCCAAAAAGCTAAACACAGAGTCACCACAGGACCCGGTGATTTCACTCCTGGATATACACCCAAAGAATTATAAACACGTGTTCAGACAAATGCTTATCCCTGAAAGCTCCGAGCAGCACTACTCAGAGCAGCCGAAAGGTAGAAACCACCCAAATGTCCAGCAACGGACGAATGGTTAAAGGAAGTGCTCTTTAGGCATAAAACGGAGTATTATTCAGCCACAAAAGGAATGAGGCACTGATACATCCATGTTATCATTGTGCTGAGTGCAGGAAGCCAGGCACAGAGTGCCAGTATTACAGGCGTCCATTGATGTGAAATACGCAGCCTCGGCAAATCCGCCCACAGGAAGCAGGTTCGCGGTGGCCATGAAGCAGAGGAAGGGCATGGGGAGTGACCACTCGATGAGTAAGTACAGTGTTTCCTTTTAGGGCGATGACAAAGTTTGGAATTAGATAGTGGTGATGGCTGCGTAATACTGTGAATGTCCTTAGTGCCACTAAATTGTACACTTTAAAATGAAAAATTAAAAAAAACTACACGGAACTTGTAACTAGTTTTTTGTACTACGGCGGGGAAAAGAAACCACTAATAAATACATCACACATAATTTTTTTTTAAAGATCAGGTTGAAAGGTAAAGGTGAAATTCATTTTAAAAGTGAAAGAGAATCTGACAAGTAAGTATTCTGGTCATAGATCCCTGCGCTCCCTGGGACGGTGATGGCGTTGCTCTGAGTCGGCGTAGACTGTGACATTGGTATGTGACATCAGGATGCGCCATTGGGAGCCCTGCGTGCCCAGCCCACACAGGTGGTGGCTGTGTATACACACCATGTACAGAAGGACTGCGTGCCCCAGGGTCCACTCACGTCTACATCTAAGGGCAGGAGAGATAAGCATGGCCTGAGCTGAGAAGAACATTTCGGATGACCTTGAGCAATGCAGAACAAACACACCTTGGCCCCAAGTGGAAGCCAGTTCTCTTATCTCCCTCTGCCTCTCCTCTCCTCCAATATTTGTCAGATGTCCCAATTCCATATGCTACTTTTGTTCCGAGGGGGCCTGATATTTACACAGGCACAAGCCCGCTTTCAGTGAAGGGAAGGGGAAGGTCTGGACCTCCCTGCCGACCTCCTGTGCCTGGGGAGAGCCTCGCCTGGGTGCAGACAGATCTCCAATATGAAATGAGAACCTCGGTAACCAGAGTGGGGATTGATCGGAGCTGCTAGAGAAACAGTGGAGCTAGGCCTGGCTGCCTCCCTCCCTTCCTCTAGAAGTGGCCCACGGAGACCACGTGCGAGCATCTGGACACATCCAGAACCAACCCGGTCCCTTCAACAAGCCCATGGCAAGAGAGCAACAAAGGGGGCAAACTATCCACAATCAGGAGAGACTTCCAGTCACAAGAACCAAGCACAACGCGTGGGCCTTCTCTGGATTCTGATCGAAGGAACCAGTACTAAAAAGATATTCTGGGACGACTCAAGGCATCCTGAACATGAATGGGGCAGTGATGACACTAAAAACATACGGTTAATTTTTCTGATTGACAACGGTATTATGAATAAATGAGAAAATGTTAAGTCTCATAGAGGGACACTGCCAGGGAGTTGCTTTAAAATACCACACACACACACACACACACACAAATATATACACACACACAAAGATAACAAAATGTTGATAATTGTTAAACCTAGATGCACATTACTAAATTTAGATGGAAATTTGCTAGGCTACGCTTTCTAATCGTTAGGCTATTCAAACACACTAAGCGTATTTGCAAATACTCATAATAAAAAGTAGCTGGCCCAAGCCAAGGCCCCATTTATGAGCTAGTTACAAGACTGCTTTGCCAAACCTCCTCGCGGCTCCTTCCGAGGAACCCAAAGGACCCATTTCATTACCACTCTCCTCCCAATTTGGGGGGCGAGGCACAATTGAACCTTCTGCGAGGACAGCTAACTGCAGTATAACAAGTGCCTCCTGGGTACAGGAGACTTGACAACATGGTAAGTCAAGCCAGCCCAAATCGGCGGACGTGTTAAAAAAAAAAAAAAAAAAAAAAAAAAAAAA